TGCGCTCATCCCTTGGACCAGGAGGGAATGTTTTCCCTTGTCTGAACAGATTTAGTGAAGAATGTGCCAAGGAAGAACTGCACCACAGTGATACTGGAGGGGGGGAGTGCTGACTATATTTATCAGCAGAGAATTTGCAAGTCAGAGCAGAAATCCACTTGTGTGTTGTTTTTTTCTTTTTAACTGAAAATCATGCAACAAAAATACAGTTTGATGGAGGAACTGAATTTTGGCATTTTCTAACAGATTTGATAACCTGTCTTTGCTACCTACCACAAAAGGATAAACTAAACTCAAAACACTTATAACTGCTGTTCCCTGTGTCACTGGTACAATTCATGCAATGGGTTTGGAGCACACCTTGATCAACAGGAACAGCACTGCCCTGATAATCTGTGCAGGGTTACTGCTTTCAGCCTGACTGGAAGGGGACAAGGGTGCAGGAAGGGTTCCCAGCTCCACATGGCTCAGAGAGCTCCCAAGACACAGCCCTGCCCTCTCCTCCCAGCATTACATCAGCAGAGCTGCTCCCCGGGAAGATCCAACCCCTTCCGGAACAGTTATGCTGAAACAACGCCAACATTTCACTAAAAACACAAGCAAACACGAAGGGAGGTGTTACTGAACAGGAAAAGGAATCACAGAAGGCATTTCTTTAGGACCAAAGGCTGCAGGGAAAGTTGCTGCTGCCACCACAAGGACCTGCCCCCGAAGGGATGTCCCTTCTCCAAACACAACCTGCTGCTCCTATTTCCTGAGCACTGCAGACAACCCCAGGCCCAGCACCACCCACCTTGCAACTCAACTTCCACTGAACATTTCCATCATACTCAAGTGCTGAATGAGCTGCCTCAGCCCCTGAGGGACAAACTATCCCAGAGGTTTTAAGGCCCAGTTCCAGTTCTACACTAACCCCCCACGTTACCTGAGTTATTTGATTCACAACAGACACACTGAAGGGCAGCCCAGCCATGACAAAACCTTTTTATCTGTTGCCATTGCAGAATACTAGATTGTGACTCACCTCTCAGAAATACCACAAAAGATCAGGATAATCCCAGTCTTGGGAACACTGTGGGAATGTGAATTAAATCAATGCTTTTAAATGCATCAAATTAATACAGGACACAGTTTTTGCTATAGGGAAACTTTAACTGCTTCCTGTAGAGGTGCTGGAGCTGTTTTTAAAGGGTCAAGGCTGCAGTGAGGCAAGAACATTTCCTTAAGAGAGAACTTTAAAGAGGTAAATCTACAAAAGTGTGTTGAACAATTACAGTTATTAAAACTGGCTTAGGACGAGCTGGACCTGAACTCCAAAGCTGGGCAATCCTTCCTCTGAGTCCCTTCCATAAGGCCAGTAAACATCAAACCTTCCCACTGCCCTCTCTGAACTGCCCAAACCCTCCTCAACCCCTGCTATGACCAAGGAAACAGCAGGGTAACCTATTCAGCTTCCCCACATCTAATTAAATGAGATTAAACTACTGGTTTTAGTCTTCCAGACATATCTCTAAAATACTATTGCCTCATATTAAACACACAAGTCCAAAAGAAAAAAAAATCCAGAAGTTTTCAGCACAATTATTTTTTTTTAAACAAGACTTGTCAAAAAAAATTGACAGGGAAAAGCTGAAGAGCTTATAAAAATATTTTCAACTGTGTGATTAAAATTATACCACTTCTGCATGGCAGTCTCATGGCTTTTCATAATACTCCTTTAACATATTGGGAAATACTCATTCCAAGAGAAATCATTAGAGTATTTGAATTTAGATTTCACTCAGCCCTCTCATTCCCCTTCTGACTTATGTAACTCCTGATTTATTCACAATCCTCGGGCTCATTTAGCACAGGACTTCACACGAAGGTCAGCCAGTGTTTTTAACCACATCTCTTCTAGTTTCATCTTACCAGCAGACCACAAAATTCTAGATTATCAACTCCACGTGTTCCCCCAAAGATAAAACAGGCTACAGTCACCATTTTCTCACTTGTCACAGCACAACCATCACATGTCTCTATGGAAAAGTGGCTCCCCAAGCCACACTTCCCAAAATAAAAAAGATCCCTGTCAACTGGCAACCCCCTCTTCTGCTTTTTCACATTCAGTGCCTGTTAGCAAGTTGAAGCACCATTTCCAAATATAACACAAGTTGTTTGTGGGGAAAAACAACATGAAAAACATCAGGGGAAGAGATGAGCAGAGGAATGACTCTGCTGAATTCGTTATGAGCATGTCTGAACCCGGATCCAGCACTGGTGTGGTCACAGTTGACAGCACTCCCCTGCCTGATGCTCCACTCAGCACATCTCCAATTAAATAAAAGATGCAGATGTTTCTTTCTTCCCCAAGTGGCTCAGCTCTTCTCCTTAACAAGAGTTACACCACCAGGCAGCTGCTCCAGTGGGTACAGAACGACTCTGCTTCTGGAATTTTGCTGAGAATGAGCCACTTTGTACCACACAGCACATTTCTACCACCGGCAATTGGCAAGTGGGAATTTTAGGCTGTTCCAGATCCCACCCAGAGGCAGCTCAGCACCCTCACCACAGCATTCCATCCACAGTGGGAAGTTAGGATGCAGGAAGCCATCCCAGGGGACAGTCCTGCAGTGGGAAGTTCTTGTTGGACAACACCACAAGAGCCTGACTACAGGAAACAAACATTTCTGATGGCAAGTGTAACGTGGGATAACTTTGGGATTCGCAGAACTAAAGAGGGAGCCCCAGTTCAGATGAACATCTAGAACCAAAAGTGACATAACAAAAACCAGAAAACTCATCCACTTCCCTTCTAATTAAAGTGCATGGACAAAAGATGAATGCAATATGAATTGTATTTATGTAATTTCAGAAGTTTTGAGGGTCTGATGCAAGGGTTCCACATCCACAGCTCAGGGTTTCTTGAAGGGGTTCTGATTCTGCTGCACCTCCTCACTACAGGCTATTTCAGATTCTAGGCTCAAGCACAGCATGAACCAAGAAGAATTAACAGCATAAACACTCCTACATCTCTTTAGAAACCTCTTCTGGTCTTTTCTCAGCAAGGCAGTGTGGAAGAGGGGAAGAACTTTTGTTCTGCTCCCCCATTCTCAGCACACATCAAGTGACTTTGCTCTTTGAACTCCAAGAATAAGATTAAAAGTGGATGCAAATGTTTCCTTCCTGACATTTTGTATTTGGATTTTTGGGACAAGTCATGCAAAAAGGTCACTGGATAATGAAATAAACACTCCCAACACGATCCTCACCAGTGCCACAGGCTCTGGCTGCTCAGAACTCAGGGGGAAAAGCTGGAGCAGCAGCACCTCTCCATATCCTCTGCCTGCCCAGGACATGGGTTGGAGAAGCTGGACAGGGCACTGCTCCCCTTCCAGAAGGTCAAAGGCACGATGAAATTCCTGCCCATGTTCCAAAGCCTACGTTAGGGAGGTTCCAGCACTGAACTGGGTTTAACTGGATGGGTTATTTTTACTCCTGTGCTCCTGGAGGAGGAGCAGGACAGCCCTCCCAGCCCATCCCCACGACTTGGCTGTAGCTCCCAAACAGTTCAAACCACCAGAGCTTCAATAATACGTGAGTAAGAGACGTGGAACAGCTTCAGTGCCATGAAAGGCACAGTGGGAACATCTAAATGGGGACAAGGATCAAAGTGCAACTTCCTGCTGGGCCCTTGGGACACGGTGACACCACCATGGGCAGCCCTTGGGACAGTGACACCACCATGGGCAGCCCTTGGGACAGTGACACCACCATGGGCAGCCCTGGTGTGCTTGTTCCTGGGACAAGGTGACACCACCGCCCTCCTGCCCCAACTCCAGACCTCCAGTCCCATCATCTGTGTTCAATGCATCACGTCAGTGCCAGCAGCACCTTGGGAACAGGCCCCTGGGCTGTGCTTTGGGATCCACCTGTGGCTGGGATAAGGCTTTACCTTGGTTCAAGTCTCTGTGTTTCCACACTGGTGACACACGGAGCAACAGGGCACCCAAAAGAGAAAACACACCCAGTTACATCCCGGGAGCCACAGGCCAAGAGGTGACAGCTACAACCCCATCCTGAGGTTTGGCCCCAGCAGGGACATGACAGGACTGCAGTGCCATGCATTAACCAGAGGAATTCCAAGGGAAACCCTTGTTAGAGGAAGCCAGAAGCATTAACCACCAACACAGTCCTGCCTGAGAGGTTACAGAGTCTCAGTCCAGGGGATTAATGTGCATTCCCAGAGTTTGTTACCTCTCCACAGTCCTCCAACTGCACAGACACACCCATCTCTAGGGCTCACTCAGGGAATTCCAATTACAAGCCTCCAGGTCTTCAGACTACGGGCATGGGAACATGGGTCAGTTACTCTGAGCTTCAAACACTTCCACAGGTTTCTACAGAAACGGGATTTAGTGTCACAGGAAGAATTTAGGGTCGAGACAGCAAGAGGACAAGGTGTTCTGGTTCAAACAGCACTACAGTGTCCCAAGGAGATTGGCTAAATCCCTGACAGACATGCTGGGAACAGAAATAAGTGAAACCTGTGACATCCCTGTGGAGAAACCAGGAGTGAGCCTCTCCCATCCATGAGAACCTCTGCCACCACTTCCCATCTCCAGGGGGCCCTTTACTCGCCTTCTAAGGGCTTCTGACCCCTGAGAGCACACACAGATCATCAAACTACCTCCAGTCTTTAATTCTTTTAATCCCAAAGCATCCAGCCAGCAGAGCAGCATCCCAGTTTGGAAGCTGCACTCCCTGTTGGTGTGTAGGACGTTAATCCTCCTCCCTCCACGGTGACTCTCACACCACACACACGCTCACACCACCTCTAACCTGCACCAGCAAGTGAGGCAGCAGCTTCCACTTCCACACTGCTAAATGTGAAACTCAACAGTGCAACTGTTTGGATATATCAATAATGGAAAGACAATCTAATCTAGGAACAAAAAGCAGAGATCATTTCGTTAAAGACCAAGGTGTGGAAGGTTTCAGACACAGGAGACTGGACTTACCCTGCAGTGACTTTCCCAATCCCTGGCCCAGCTTCCACCCATGTTTCTGGAGTAAGCGGTGTCCAATATTATCCTGACAGACAGAACAGAGAAAACAAACCAAAAATATTCCAATAATATATTCTTCGCTTCCCGCTGACATTTAAACATGTGATGAGCAAGAGATCTTTCTACATATATATGCATGCAAAAAAAATGCTACTGAAAAGGCAATAGATGCCCAATAAAAGGGAAAGACAAATGTCAAAAATTGCTGGCTAGAATTTTTCCAGGGGGATGGGGATCAGGGACGGTCACTTTCTGATGGTGTGCTGGGCAACTTTTGTGTATCACGTTTAAAATAAATAAAAAATAATAGTAATAATAATAAAAAAAAAAAGCAATGTGGGAGAAAATAAAGTGTACCAATAAAAATTGACAGTAAAAAGCATAAAATCAAGCTATTTATACAATCATATCCATCACCTAGACAGCACCACTTAAGATTTTTTTGGTAAAGAAAATCTACAATGTGTTTAGTCATTTTGTTTGTGTGTCAGGCTTTTATAATACTGAGTAAGTTGTAAGTGCAAGACTGCCCCACCACTAGAAACCAAAACACAATCAGAGCAAAATCCAGGCTAGACTTGATTGGGTTTTTTTTATATATGTGTATATATATATATAAACTAGCATGCAGCCAATATTAAACTGAAAAAACAGTGAGGTTAGTAAAACAAAAAAATAAAATCAATTAAATAAAATGAGCTCAAGCACAGACTGGGTGATGCATTTCACATGTAAACTAACAAAAATACTAAGATGTTAGAATGAAACAGGCCTAGCAATAAGTTAACAGCAAGGAACCATTAGTGCATGTAGGGGAAACAATAAGCATAATGTCTCATCTTCCTAAACAAAAAAGCTATTTTGGAATAAGTGGAAAAGTACTGACGCAGCAATTAAGTGTCAGCTTTTGGAAATCAGGTTGAGCAAGGCTCAGGGTGGAAATTGTTGTGTTTTTCTGCAAGGTTTGTGCCCCCAGACAAAGAGCAGAGCACTCAGGGCACCCTCCAAGCATCTGAGCTGACAGCTCTGCCCTTGGTGACCAGTTTACCCAGTTAGAAGCAGTGACCAACTGCCAACTCAGCAAAGGAGGACTCTGGGTTGGGACCACGTTCACCTCCTAATCATCAAAAATAAAAATAAAAATAAAATAGGCACTTGGTGGTTATTAGTTCTCATAAGGCAAATAACTTGACATATACAGAAATATCCTGAATTATAACAGGATCCATAACACTGAGGGTACAGGGAACCTTAAAAAAGAATTATATATATATATATATGTATGCTGAAGGTTTCTTTAATTAAATAACCAAGTCATCAACACAAACCAGAGTACCAGTGGTTTTGTCACTCCACAGGGTTTGCAGAACTTTGGTGAATCAGCTTGAAGGGCACAACCTTTCTAAAGATATTGGCTGCATGGATATATTTTTTCCTCAAAAAGATGTTATCAAGCATAAATTTTGGAATTTTTCCTGATATCCCAGTAAAGCACTGTCTGTCTGTATTTCTCAAGGAATAAGTGCATGTCTTTCCCATAGTACTGGCTCTCCCCCAGGACATAATTAGGCCCCCGTGGGGAAAAAAAAATTTGAACCAGGAAAAGTAAAGGAATGTCTTGGGATAAAAGCAATAAACCAAGATGGATTCCCACCACAAACACCACGGAGAGGACTGGGACTGTCTGTCTGTTGGGAAGAGGAGGAAAACTTACCTGCAGGCACACCTGCCCTGAGCACAGAGTGCCCAGGCCTGGAGCTCGAGGGGCTGGGATAAGGCACTAATTGTCCTACCCTGACAAAGGATCTTTGAATCTCTCTGTGCTGACAAAAATGGCTGCGTTTCCCAAAAAAAAAAAAAACAACAAAAAAACCAAAACAAAGAAAAAATAAATAAATCCAAAGGACAAGGAGTACTTTGCATCTTGGCCAAGTGGAGATGAGACATTGTGCTGACTGTGTGTGTTATGAATGCACTAAAATAAAGACAGATGAAGCAGAACGCTATTCCAAAAGCAGTGCAAGTGGAGTGAAAGCATTTCCATACGAACCTGGCTTTAAAAACTGGGCTGTCAAAAGAACAGTTAAATGTAACACAAAGTAAGAAACTGTCCAATCACTAATGGTAGTTTTTTTTTTTTCTTTTGCTTTGTTTTCAATTCACTGCTTGCAAGTAATGTATTTATTAAAGAAGAGTGAAAGCATAAAATAAATTCAACAAGTCAAGACCAGCTGGGAGATTCAAGAGCGGTGTGTTGTGACTGACACAGTGAAGGGGGAAACAAATGTTAAAGGGAAAAAGAAAAATTTAGAAGGGTTATACACATTAGCACCACTTTTACAGAACCACTCAAGAGGATGGTCGCGAGCTGTTTGACATAAATTGGAATTATGCCTGAACGTCGTCCTGTCTCAGTTCCCAGGAAGGGGGTGGTTTTCCCAGCCCAATTTTTTCCATTTGTTTGTTTACACAGTGGAGCTAATTTTAAATCCTGCTGAATTGAAATGGAGCATCTTCTGTTTCGCTGAACAGGGAGGAGAACTCCAGTAATTTAATATTAATCTTTGAGCTGGGACCTGGTCATTAGTCTGCTCGTTTCCAGCCACGTTCAGTCTCCTCCCTCCTTTTCCAATGGCTCTGCTGGTCCTTTGACAGAGGCAGACTGACAGAACTGCTCTTCAGTGCAAATGCTGCTCTAAAAATGAAATGACTGAAGGCCAGGCTTGCTGGGCTCCCATGTGGGGCCAGTCTGCAGAGCCTGGGGAGTAGCCAGGGGTACTGGGACCAAAATTTGACATGGAGCAGCGAATGCTGCAACAGCCAGCAGCTTTTTTCATTTAAATTGCATTTTTAAGTGACAGTTCTGTAAAAGTACAGCCTCTTTCACATAGAAAAGATGGTTTTTTCCACAGAAAACTTCCTGTCCGTGTCAAAGGCTGTCATTCCTTTTGAACAGACTATCCTCAGCTGCAGCACTTTTCCTACAGAAGAGCTGCACTGATGCACAGAAATGCCACAGCCGAGGAGGGCTGGTACGAGTCTCCTCACTTTCTTCCTCTGCCCTCCTGGAGCTCCCCGTGTTACAGCCACAATAAAATTTACTGAGGCAGCCAAAACAGGTGTCCCAATAGGTGTTTGAGTGAGCAAGGGGGCTCTCCTGTACCACCCAAGGGGGTGGGCACCCAGCCGTGGGGGCTGTGGGTGCTCCATGCAGGGAGAGCAGCTCTGGGTGGAACAACTCACACCCCCCAGCATCATCTCACCCCTCTGGAGCTGATCACCAGTGATCATTTCTATTTACAGATGGAGAACTTGGCATTAATGACAGAGCATTCCAACTTTTCCAAAGGGTATAGGAAATGCAAGGTCTTGACTGCACGAAACCCTCATGGAGCTGGGGAAAAACCTCATCCCAAGTGAGAGGCTCCACCAGCTCCAAACTGGGCTCCTCAGTTCCCCATCCTGTGCCCTCACAAGATGCCCTTGGCTGCTTTCCACAGGGATCAGTGATTCCTAAATGGGATATCCCCAGCAGAAATTTCTGACAAAGGTTCTGGTCGACAGGAAAAGAAATTGCTTCAAATTCAAACATCTGGAGGAGAACACAAAGGTTTTGGTGATGCCTGCGGGGTGATGCTGCGTTATGGATAAACCACAGCCCTCGTTTTGCCTGACAGGTTTTCCATGAGATCCCCAGGGATTGTATCCCCACTGCCCATCCCAGCACGGGCAGGAACCATTCGTCTCTTGAGTGGATTGTAAGCTGTGCTCACTGTGTATGGAGGAATCTATAAGCAAGGATCGGATGCTACTGGGTGAACCCATGCAAACAAGAGGTTGAAAAGATTCCCAAAACAAAACCTAGAGCTCACTACAGATGACACAATGAAGACCAGAGAGAAAAGCCAAATAGTAATGCTACACCATTCAGCTTCCAGAAGCACATTATTTATAGCGCTGTCCACATATGGCTGCTGCTAAATGTCAAATCAGCAGCCTCATCAAATGACACTTTGGAACTAGTGGAGTCCACAGATCTGTACAGATTTCCAGTGCGACACAGCCCGGCCCCGGCTCGGCCAGGCTCCAGCAGCCCGTGGTGTCAGACACCACCGACTGCAGCCTGGGCTGTGGGGAGCTCAGGGACCTCCTCTGTGCCCCAGCAGCGTTAGAGAGAGGGGAAAGGACATTTGTTAGTCAGGACAAGGACAAACTAACAAGCTCCAGGGTGAGTGGGGGGTTCCCAGCGTGGCCTCCAACCTGCAGCGGTGCCGGCGCGGGTGGAGCCCTGACACTGCCTGCACGGGGCCGGGGCTGCTCCGGGGGGCTCTAGGGGGGTCTAGTGCTGCCTCCTACTCCATCTGCACTGCTGGGACGAGGCAAACCAGGAATTCACAGCCAAGAGACTCGATAAACAAGCAGAGATAAGGAATTAACGTGAAGAAAATCTGGATTCTGTTCAAGCTGCAATACTTTGTGACTTCCCGTTCGGGTACCTGAACTCAGTGCACTCAAAATACTTCAGAACAAACACATGCAGCTTCTGGGATCTAAAAAAAGGGTGAAGTGCTCTGATTTTTCAAGGACATCAGACAGCAGTGGTTGCACTGACGTGAACAGCCAGTGTAAGTGCAGCATCTTTCAAACCACAGCAAGAAAAAATGTTACTTGTGGGGGGGAAAAAAAATTATCAGTATTTGCAGCTCTGAAGAGTCCATTGATATGAAATATTTTCTTCAATTTAGTAATGGAAAATAGCTGGCACTCGTTCAGGTCCATCCCTAGCTCCTGGCAGCTCTGTTTTCCATAAATGTACTCTGGTCAGAGTCGCATGTTTCAGTCCAGACATCTTTGGCCTAAACTCGCTGCACACAGCAGGATTTCCACAGGAACAAAAACACCAGTAGGCTAATTGAGGACACGTTTCAACATTGTAATGATCTGTAGACTCCCCAAACCTATTTTTCCAGCCACCTTTGAGTTGCATGCTGTAGCAGTACAGTCAGCACCTCTCAACAGATAATGCTGCAGAGATGGATCTCACGTCAGCTGGGAATGTCGCTCGGACACGGCACGGGAAACCCTCCACCCCAGGACCTCCAAGCACAGCTACCCGTGGGCTCTGGAGCATTTCCACGTCACTAACATGTGGGAAACTGCATTTAAGAGAATATATTTAATCCACCCTTCAGTCTGTAGAATAACCTTAACCTTCTAACTGGGGAGTGCTTTGATCTGCCGTGGCTATAAACACAGGATGGTTCACCACCCAAACTATTTCCACACTGAGAAGCAGAGCCTCACTCATGACTCTGAGCAGATTCCTTGGAAAAGGTCAGTTGGATTTGGATTGCTAACAGAGAACTGGTAAACGATTATAAACCAACTTGTTAATATTGAAATATTATTGAAATAATATTTAGATGTGTGGTAGTTTCAAAACATAGACTCGCCCTTACTCTTTCCCTCTCAATTTCAGCTCTGGGTGAGCAAACAGCTTAAAATACAACAAGAAAAAAAATTATTAAAAAGCAGAATGAACATCCCTTTCCTGGTGAAAAATCTTGCAGAAGTGCCCCACTGAACCCTGTCAAGAAAACTGTTCCTTCTGTTAATGTGTGTAATCTGCCAATTCAAAAAGCACATTGGTCATTAATAGTGTGGAAGGAAAAATCACCTCCACAGGTGCCAGGAAACTTGACACTCCCCAGATGGAGAGTTTCTTTTAAGAACCAACAATGTATTCTGCAAAGACCACGTGAGGATGAACTCCAAAAGTGACCAGGTTGTTCCTGACACTGGGCTTGTCCATGAGGCCAAAAAAACACCCCATGCAGCAACCACAGCTTTGAAATCCTGGGACAAGGACACTGGCACAGCTGCCCAGGGCAGGGGGGAGTCACCATCCCTGGAAGTGTTCAAAAAACGCCTGGATGTGGCATTTGGGGACATGGGTTAGTGGTGGCCTTGGCAGTGCTGGGGGAATGGTTGGACCCAATGATCTTAGAGGGCTTTTCCAATCTTAATGACTCTGTGATTCTCTTATTACAGACAAAAGAAGAGTGAAACAAACTGTATTTTGAAGAAAAATTTGAGGTTTTAACTCCTCCTCCTCCCAAAACAAGACATTCTCTTGTACTCTTTACCCAACTGTTTTCAAATATAACCATTAGGTTGAATTGTACCTACCAAAAAGTTGTAAAGATTAATAATGTCCTGACATTTGGATGGTGAGAGAGATATATATGAATAAAATATTACAGCCATAATTTAATTTAATTTTGCTGCTGCAGTTCAACATTAATCAAACTGCACAAAGCATTACTCCTACAGATGCTGTGAAGTGCACTGTGAGCCCACATGCCCTCACTGCTGGGTTCAGGGTACCTGCTCATGGTTTAGGCATCATTCCCTTTGGAACACCAGAGATGTGATCTGTGACCCCTTCTGTTCCTCTCTTTGGGAAAACACTTTTGGAAATCAGGTAACCAGTCTAGTCTGCAAGCAGCATTTGAATATTTTGAAATTCTAATTTCCGACGTGGCCCAGAGTAGGCTACCAACAAGTACTTCCCATTACATTTACATCAGGAATCCAGCTTGGCATTTTAATTAAAATCACCAGGTAAGATTGAAGCATTCAGGAGAGCTTTGGGTAGGAATTCCCATCTCTGCAGCATTATCTCATGCGTCATCAATTACTGCCATGCCTAAATCTAGCATCATGCCAGCACATTAAGACAGTAGGTACTATATGCAGTGTTCACTGGACCAGAAGAACAGAAATAAGAAGGGGGAAAGGAAACCCTAGAGAAGAAATTAAAAAAGGCAGACCGTGCAATACAAACCAGATCATGGCTGCTTAGCTAATATGGGCCAACTGCTGCGGAAGAAAAACGTCGAACACCCCAAGTTGGGTAAATTTTTTTGGTAAACATCTAAACACGCACACAAACACACACAACACCAACCTACACACCAACGAGAAAGAGAGACTGAGCTTCTGCTAACACTTAGTGCCTCCTGAGTGCTGACTAGGGGGGAGAAACTTTCATAATGTATCGGGGGAAAGAAACACTTGACGAGTTAATTTCTTAACAAAAATCTGGGCTTAATCAGAACGCCACTAAGTGTCCCTGGATTAGTCACCACAAGTTTTCTTGTTTCTGCAAGAAACTGAAACTGAAACTCAGTGTGCCAAACTTGGGTCCATTTTGGGCTGAACGAGCTCAGTTTAGGCTGAACAAGCTACTGTGCCTGAAACCAGCAGAAGGGGCTTTGCAAAGAGCAAAAGAGTCAAAAAGCTCCTTTTTTTTTTTCAGCTCCAAAAAGCTTAAAAAGGTAAAACTAAATAAAACTTAATTCTTCCCCATCTTATGGGGGAAAATATATTCCACACCTAATTAAAGGTAAAGCAACTTTACAGAAAGGCTCAGGGCAGTTTCAGCTCTGTGGGGAAGGACTGCTGGACTAACACTGATCCCTCTCTCCACACTCCAGGTGTCGTTCTAACACTTTTACACACCAGTAGTTTTCCAAAAATATAAACTAAAAAGGAGCAAAATACATTTAACTACACTATCCCATCAGGTTTGCATATGAATTAAACTGATTCTTCAAAGAAAAGTATAAAAACTTAAAATAAATACCTATGAATGAATGTATTACTTTAATTAAGTCCTGAAATATCACGTCGAGCTCAAATTTGAACTCACCTATGGTTTTAGAACTACTTCAAGATTAAATCCCAGGCCCACTTAAGCTCAGCATGCAATTTACCACCAAAAATTAACCCTGACTGCCACCAAGGTGCCCACTCCTCTGAGATTTGACTGCATTCACATCAAGTACCATCCGATCACGGCCCAATTCCGGGTGGGATGGGGGTGCTGATAAGTGGGGGGGTCTTACCGATTCGATAGGCTTGTCTAGAGATGCCTGTTCTATCTCCAGGTGCCCCTCTTCATACTGATCAAAGTGATTGCCCTGCAAGAGAAAACAAGGGTCAGCTCCCACAGCACAGCACACACTGCCAACACTTTCGTTTTGGGAGTCAGGTTTGGCTACAGTGACATGTTTTATATAATTCTGCTAAAAAATAAACTTGTTAAACCCGAGTTCAACTCAGTGTATCAGCTATAAGGACAAAAAAAAACCCTAAAAAATAAGTCAACTTGATGATAATCATAAATTGTATAAGTTGGCAAAACATCATACATTTACACTGACAATACTTCTGGGTTTTTTTCTTAAGACAGTCTGTGAAAACACTGAGCACAAGCAGCAGTGCCAGCCTGGAAACCACAGCGGACAAGAAGCAGCAGGAATTGACCCTCCCACCACTACAAAGGGTTTTTGCAAGGCTTTCCTGGCAGCAGGAAATCCAAACTGCTCCAGGGATACATGTGATTTCACACACCTTAAATCAACTAAAACTCACAGTGGTACCAAAGGAAACCTGTCCCTGTGCCCACAGTGCTTGTCCACGGTTTGGAACAGCCCTTCCCACAAATTTAGGTGGCTGCACAGTGATCTGGCAGTGATCTGTCCATGGGAGTGATCCCCCACCACAGTCTTAGTTTTGACCTCAAACAACCTCCTCCCCCACCAGCTGACCACCAACCCCCAAATGGTAAAATTGGATCTTCCCACTTTTTTGGCTGGATATTGAGCATACAGGATTCCTGAGCTGGGAAGGCAACGGCAGCCCTGATCTCCAGGATGACTGATGGTGCTGGAACACACCAGGGAAGGGCCATTTCAGGAAAAACAAACATCTCCACTGCAGCTCTGCCATAGCTTTCGAGGTTTCTGAAGCCTCAAATTCCTGAGATTGCAAACATGGTGAACCATTTTTGGCTGTTCAACAGGTCCATGATGTAACAAATCCACATGAGCACAGACCTGGAAAGGGAAAACTCGGACTTCCTAGCTATAAACCCAGAAGGAAAGAGGAGAGATCCCTGCAGCTGGGATGAGCCCCAAAGCCACTAAAGGGGGTTGTTTCAGCAGGCTCACCTACATTCCCAGGCTCTGCTCAGCATCACAGGAACCCCAGGAGGTGCCAATCCTTGGCTGTCACCCTCCACTCCTCCCCCAGGCCCCCCAGTGCCACTGGAGCCTCCAGCTGCTCTGTGCACTCCAAAACCCTGGCAGGTTTTATTTGCATCCCAGCTCCATAATCACTTGGAGGAGGAACACACACACCACTGCCAAGAGAAACATGTTGTCACCCTCCTCCTTTCTACCAGCACTAACTTTTCCTTCTGCAGGAATTTTAATGGAAGCTGACATGTCAAAGAGCAAACTGCCGTTAACGGACCGATGGCTGGAATATCACAAGCCTCCCAAAATCCTCTGGAAGGAGTGTTTGCATCCAGCAATGCAAATCTGCAAGGGACCATCCTGACCAAAACCTGGTGCCAAGAGAACATGCTTTAATGCTGGTGCCCCAACTTCCAGCCCATCCATCATCTGGAGTCCCCGGTGGTAATTCATCCCGGCCACGCTCTGCTCCCGGGCGGCATCTTTCCCACGGCCTCTCCAGAGCAAATTTGGGGCTTAATCTGCAGGCAGAAATCCACTCCCAGCTTGCTTTTTTTTTTTTGTTTTGGACAGCCTTCAAGGAACAAGCTGAAGGCAAACTTACCATGCACGAGCAGTCGCTGGGCTGCTTTAAAAAGCCAAAACCCCCCGGGGTGTGGATGGACAGACTGTGCGTGGCAGTGCTGAGGAGTCCGGGAGCCCAGCACGGAGCAGACACCACAAAACCTGCCCCAACGGCCCAGGGACATGGCCCAGACTCCCAAAAACCAGTGCCCAAGAGAACAAGAGCAGCCAGGAGTGCACATGTTGCTTACACTGGCAACAACACATAGCTAGACTTCATGTATTTAAAAATTAAACCCATGTAACATTAATTAACACTTGAAACCCTCTCAGCACAAAGCAGACACCTCCTTTCACTCGCTGCCTGCAGGTAGCTCAGAACACGTCACTAAATTACCTGGAACAAGTGAAATATTCCTGCCCACTCCCTGGCTCCTGCAGAGCACTGCCTGCCAAAACACTGAGAGCTGTTTTCACCAAGGCAAGGGTCAACCCCAGTTCGAGAGCAGCAGGTCTGGCTGCTCTGAGCCTTCACTACTCGCTTTCTCAGTGCTTAAAACAACATCTCCTCCCAGAAACAGAGTAAAAGGCTGAGTACTCCCTGTGCTCAGGGAAATGAGAGAGCAAATAAACCATTCTCCCCAAGCTCTGGTGATCCCACCACTACCCACTCCATATATTTTGGGGGTTATTTTAGATATTTATATTTTTGGGGAGTTTACTATCTACTTGTTCCTGGTAACAAGCAGGGATGGGTTGTTTGTTTTTACGAAGAGCAGCAACACTAACACCAGAATTTTCCATAGAGGCAGGTGCTGCCTGTCTCCTGGAATTCATGGGCACACAAATGCCAGCAAGCACAGGGGACAGGCCCCATGGGAATGCTGATAACCTGCTCCTGTGCCTGTTCCAGGCTTGGCAATTCCAGGTTTTGGGATAACAAAGTGCCCAAAATGAGCTGAAATCAATAGTCATCGCAGAGACTGCTCTTTATTTATCAGTACTTAAAATAAATGATAAAGGAATTTTTTCTTTCCACCATTAAGTGACTCAACCTGGGAAAAGGCAAGTGGACAATCCAATGGTCACAGTGGAGTTGGATTTTTGGGGGTGTTCAGGCTGGTGGTGCCCAGTGAGGGAGGAGTGAAAAAAGGGTTCTATGGCCACAACAAACAGCTCGTTAAGGCAACACTCTCTGCCACTGTGGGGATCCCAGGCCTTCTGGAGCTGGGACTTGGGGGGCTGGAGGCAGCACAGTCTGTCCCTTTGCCTCCTCATCCCTGGAGCTGGCTGAGGAACAAGTTGGGGGGAATTCCATCTGTTTTCCCTCTTTTGCAATCCTTCAGCCTGGCACATCGAATGGATCCATGTAACATTTCTGTTTTGCTGTACCTTTAGACAATGAATCAGAGGAAGACAAAATACTTTAACATTTAAATCTAACAATTAATTAAGCTCTAAACGCTGAATGTTGAGAATAAACTACATTTCTGGCAAACACGAACCACAAGCACAGATCCCATTTCAGTATGATTTTGATCTGTGTCTTTTGCAGACTTGAGGGATGATTCCCTCTTCAGAGGAGACCTGTAGGTGAAAAGAAGGATTCAATCCCTACAATGCCCCTCCATTTTACAGCTGCCTGTATCAGGCTCTCTCACTTCTGCTTTGTGAAACAAGATGCGTTGCACTGTCCCCTTCTCACAGACACTCCCTCCATCCACCCCAGAATACCAGAGCAAATTCAATGAGAGGCTTCCACTCCAGCAGCATTTATTGCTCTCACTTTGTGCTACCTCTGCTGGTGCTTCACTACAACCACACTGAAATCCAATATATTTCACTACTTCATAAGGAACAAGGACAAGCCTCCAACATCTAAACACTCCTCACACACCACTTGGCTCCTTGTTGCACTTGTCTCCAGGAGCCAACGTGTTTGTGCCCTGTGATTTTTTGTGTAATATCATCTGAACTTTGGCTCACTACCCACTCTGGTTACTCAGTCACATGTTCTCTGCTCTCTCCCCCACTTTCCCATTGTTTGATCCTTGCCTGAAGCTCTTGGCCAAACCTTAAGTCCTGGAGCCCTCACACGCTGAACCACTGAGTTATGAACACGGCATTCGAAAAATCAACCAACCAAAGCTGCCTCCATGCAGGGTTTCAGACCCCCATCCTCCCTTATTTGGACTGGAAATACTTCAGAGCCCTGGCCCAATAAATGTAATTTTGTCCCAGATTAAACCCAGTGGAGTCACTGCATTTCCTGGGACAATTCATAGCTCAAATTCAAAGCTGCTGCTTTCCTGCTCACAAGATCCCAAATGTTTTAACAGTGAGACCCAGTTGGTACCATTAAAAAAAGAATTTAGGACCTTAATTACACTTTCATCCCAAAATCATTAGTGGCAATTATTGCTGCCAATAAATGATTCAGTGAAAGTGAAATGAATTGTTGATTTAAGACCATTTATCAAAGTTTAATATCACAGAATTCACTCCCTCCCCAACACAAGGCACCTTTCCAGGAAGGTGGGCAAAGACAAAGCACATAAGGACACACAGAAATTACCAGGAGGGGAAACCCTTCCAAAGAATCTTCATGACAACAGTGTAGAAGAAAATCTGCTCCCTCTCACACCCCAAAGGGTGTATCCAAAACCAGAGCAACTCGTGGGCACTGCCTGCATTCCTAAGTCACCTAAAGCATCACCAACACAAAGGGCAAGGAATGATGAGTCACTTCAGCAGCTTTGAGGCCATCAGACCGCCCTGGACATCAATCACTGCACTGCTCCCTGCGATCTGCCCGATCACAGAGCACAGGAAGATGTCAGCAAGCAGAACACATCCACACAGTGCTCATTCCTGACAGGAATTAGTGCTTTCCCTAATGAACAGCCCTAAGTTATCCGTGTATTATCCCAAAAGCCTCCAGCCCAGCAGCTCAGCGGAGATGGGAACAGGTTCCAACAAAGGAGCAGGACAGTGGAGATGGGAGTGCAGGGTTTCCTCTCAGGATGCTCCCCTTCAGCTGTCCTGCAGCTCCACCAGAGCTCAGCCACACCAGCCTGGTGGTTATTAACACCAGAGATGATGATGTGAGTTACAAAACCCAGCAAAGCCCAGCAGGAAGAGCCCAGGATGGGAAAACCTGTGGAAAGCACTGCCTGCTCCCCAAACCACAGCGCCTTCAATGGAGGGAAATAAGGAAAGGTTCTGGCATAAAACCCCCGTGGCTCTGCCTGGGAGCATTAAAGCAGGGATGGCTGGAGAGGGAACAGCCAGAATGCAGCTGCTGAGACGTCACAGCAGAAACAATCTATTTATGTCCCTGCTGGATTTCAGGACGGGCTCAGGAAGGCACTCCAAGG